GCTTCTACCTGATCATGCGCTCGAAGTGCTGGCCACGCTGTACCAGGCCTGCGAGCGCATAGGCCATTTACCAAGGCAACTTCGTCTTCATTCTCATGCCGATGTTGGCGGAGCCTGACTCAGGCCATCGACTACTCATTCTCTATGCTGGTGCCCATCGCCTGTGGCAGAGGTGCCGACGCGACTGTCTTCGCCTTATGCATGACGCGCTCAAGCGACGATACTGGGGGGCGGTTGCTGGCAGGAGTACGCTGGATTTATCTTGGCTCCAGGCTGCCCGTGGGGAGGCAGCCGCGGCCGACGACCACTGCAGCGTGCTGCTCCTGATGGACTACAGCAAGTCCTACGAGAGCATATCGCTCGACACCCTTCGTGATAGAATGATTGCCTGTGGGATTCCGATGCCTGCGATGAAGCTGCTGTGCAATGCCTGGAGGGGGCCGCGCATCATTCGTCTCGGCCTGCACCACAGCCCCACTGTGCTCCACGCCAAGTATGGCCTCCCTGCGGGGTGCGCCTATGCTGATGTAGGAGCGCGTGCCTTCACAGTTTTCAGAGTATGATCAGTTTTTGGTGCGGAATCCTGCGATTGATTTCATGAGCTACATCGATGCCACGGGAGCTCATGCTTCGGGAACTGACCGTGATGTTGTACTAGGCGCTGTCGCTCAGGCAGGTCAGAATTTCTTCAGAGTTTCCCAGCCACTGGAGGCCACCCTCAATGACAAGGTGGCGATAGTGTCAAATTATGCCCAACTCGGTCAAGATGTGGCAGCACAGATAGGACTGGATCGACAGAAGGTACGCCCTGCGGTTGCGTACCTTGGGACGGACTATGCTGCTGCCCGCCGACGTGCCCACCCTTTCATGGGCCGGAAGCGTCTCAATCGCACTCGCAAGGCACGCCAACGTTTTGCGAAGTCTGCCAGGCCCAGATCAATGCGGAAGGCCGATGAGAGATTTGGGCGGATATTCGCGACAGGAATCAAGTTGGGATCGCAGTGTGGAGTTGAAGTCAACGGAGTTGATGATCGTGAACTGCTGTCGCTACGCCGCCAAGCCCTGTCCTTTAAGTCGCCCACCACTAAAGGTGCTAGTTTTAGGGCTACATTGGCCCTCCATGGAGAACCCATGACCCGTGAAGCCATGGCCCCAGCCCTACAGTGGGCTAAGATGTTCTGGCAGGCCCACATGTTCCCCCAGGAGGCCCTTGTAGGCACCCAAGAGCTCAAGTGGATCTGGGCTCTTGTGTTTCACTGCGGCCGTGTGGCCCTGGCTTCTTGGGTGCAGTCAAAAGGGCCTGTAGGCCGCGTTTTGCTCTGCCTGGCCCGCGCGGGCTGGCAAGCCGTTTCAGTCGCCCTTTGGAAAGACCACAATGGGGTTCAGATAGACCTCACCCATGCGACGCCCAGTCTGCTCCTTGGGATGTTTGAGGTTTCGTTCCAGGCTGGCCACGAAAGGATGTTCGGGGAGCAGTTGGGGGTCGGAGGTCACAGAGCCAGCCTGGAACCAGTCAGCCGCGCGCTTCGAACCAAGAAGTACACGCGGCGCCTGAAGTATTCAGTTCGGTCGTGTCTATGTGATTGCCTCTGGACAGAGTCGCATGCCCATGAAAAAGGGTACGCGACAGATCATGGAGGTTTGTGCCAGTGCGGCAAGCCAGACACAGTGTATCATAGGCTTTACGAGTGTCAGTTGCCACATACCCTCGAGGCTCGCGCCTCCGCCGACGTCTCGCAGAGTTTCGTTCAGCCTGGCCTCGGGGCAAGGCCCGACAGTCGGCCGTCATCGAAGATGAAGAGGTACCGCCGATTTCATCCCAGCCTGCTGCCCAAGTACTCACAGGTGGTGGGGTCTTGTTGCCTGACACTGACATAGAAGAGTAGTCCAGTTCGCGGGGACCTCACAGAGTCTCCACATTGCAGTTGACGGCAGCAGCACGATGCCTATGCTTTCTGTTTCCCATCGAGCAGCTTACAGTGTGATCCTGTTTTCCAGCCATCGCCTCCCAAAACATGTGCGGTCCTCCGAGGGGTCATTCCTGCGGGATTCCCGCAGACCCCAGCGATGGCTGAGAATTTTGCCCTAGCGGTGGCATGTCAGATTGCAGATCGACCAGTGCACATTCACGCTGACTGTAAAGCTGCCATTTCGCAGGCGTTGCTACCCCGAGCGGCGCAGCTCCGACCCAACAAATTGTATGTTGGTGTTTCTGCGTTCGCTAGATCGTTGCTTGGATTTCAGCACATCCAGGCGACTCAGCATGTGAAGGCCCATCGTAGCAACGAAGTCATCGATGCGTTGCCGCCTCACGAGCGAATGATTGCGCAAAGTAATTGGGAGGCTGACATTAATGCCACGCAGGCGCTGTTGTTGCGCGCCCCCATCGGCCCCGAGGCTGCCATGAGTCTCGATAGTGAGAGTGTTCAGGTCTCCAATTTTGTCAAGCTGGCTGCCGCCATTCCCCCCGCGCGCGGGAACCGCCGTCAGCGCCGTGACCGCCCGCTTGCGAGGCGCAGCTCTGTTGGGGCGGGGCCCTCTTGGCACGAGTGGCAGGACGGACCTTTAGGCCCCCAGTGTAAGCACTGTTTTTCGTTGGCTCCGCAGGTCCCTAGTGCCGAGGTGACGGGGTGTCCTGGGGCCCCGTTTTTCGTTCGTAGCGTCGTCCGCCGTTCCTTGGGGCACCTGATCGTTGGCGCGGCTTCCCATGAGATCCACCCCAGGAGCCCCCCCAAGGCTAGGGCCTGCAGGCCCACGTTGCAGTTTCTGTGTCTGAAGTGTGGGCGTTGGTCCCAGCGGCGTGCTCGCAAGCTCGCGGACGAGTGCAAGCGCCCTTCCCGCAAAGGAGCCGAAGTTTTGTCGAAGTACGCCCAAGGTCTTGGGCCGAGTAACCGTGCGCGCCAGTTTATAGATCACGCTGCCCGTGCTCACCACCTCCCCCCTCCGTCGACGGGCCCGAGTGTGCGGGCCCGCACGACGGCCCCGACAGTGTTTCAGGCGGAGGGCGACGGGGTTCCAGAGTACGAGCGCCGAATGTCGGCGCTGAAGGCTCGCATCGCCGCTCGAGAGGCGAAGAATGATGAGCTGGGATTCAGTATTTCAGTTCGGTGGGGTGCCCTGTCGCGGCCCTGGGCGGAGCGTCGGGAGCTCCGCCCCAGGGTAACAAATGCCCCCTCTGAGGGGCACCCCGCCGAGTAAGACTTGCGAGTCTCGTCCCCCTGGGGCTGCTCTAATCTAATCTCACCCGAAAGGTGGTCGTATAGGTAGATGTCCACTCCCCGCCTCGCACACACACGCATCCCAAGACGAGCGCGGCGCGCCAGGAGGCGGCGCCAGGCGCGCCGCCCAAGGGGCGCACCGCGGCGAGCGAAGCGGAGGTCAGCGCGCGCCGACGGGGGCCCCGGTGGCGGGGCAGCCGGCCTCCTCTGGCCGACTCCTGCTGCACGTGGTGGTGGCCCCTTCGCCAGGGTGGCCGCTTGGTGCAGGGGTCCCCTGAGCCCTGGCCTGCGCGCCTGGACCGGACCCCCACCGCGGCCCCCAAGGCGCCGCGCGCGTGAGGTCACTCGTGCCCCAGGGTCCACGCTTGCGTGCGCCGCCAGGGCGCTGAGGCAAGGACCACATCGGGCTCAGGAGGGGCTCCGGTGTTCAGGCCGCTCATATTGGGTGGGCACGGGTCGGGGAATTCAGTGGTGGTCGAAGCTCGCCGTGGCCAGAGGCCCCTTCGTTCCGTATTCAGCACTCCTTGCGGCAGCACGATGGCTGCAGGCGAGACCCAAGCTAGTGACTCTCTTCTGGGCTGGGCTCTCTGGGCTGTCCCCCCGCCCGCTGGGGCCCACGACGTGGCCCTGGCCGGCCCGGGCTGACGTTGACCAGGGGAGGGGAGTCGGGCGCCAGCCCCATGAGATGCGCGCGGACCTCAAAAAGACTGGTCCTGCGTCTTGTGTTCATGTTCTCCGAGCGGCCCGTTATCATGCATTGGAGGACGGAGAGGCAACGTTGGCAACCCCAACACCACCACCGGGCCACCTCCAGCGAGGAGGTCCACGATGCCTCCCCGAGCCAACGATTGGAGATGCCTCGAGAGGGACGCCGAAAGCAGGGGGACCACACCGCCAGGAGAACCTTCCCTGGTTCCTCGCGTTGGTGGTTGTGGTGGAGATTTTCCCTTATCCGAGTGCAGGACTGTCGAAGGCGGAGGAGGGGACCTCTGGTGTCAAAGGTCCCCGGAAGAATCTGGAGGCTTCCCGATTGGGCGCGAGTTAATGGGAGGGCGAATGCTGGGAGGGCAGCGAGGGTTGCAGAACAGGAACCTTTGAATAGCCCAGAAGGGGGCCTGAAGGAAGGGCTCGAAAGGGATACCTTTTCCCCCCCCCCATAGATCGCCCCCCCTTAGTTCACGCCTAACTGGAGGCCTCCCGAGGCCCAGGGATGCACCAGAGGCGTAGCCTATCTGGGATATATCGCCGATTCATGGTCGTGTCTGTACCCCCCCATAGCTGGTGTCCAGGTGGCTTTCGGATCACAGCTCGGGCCTCCGGCGGCCGTATCGGGACGATCCGTGCAGCCCCAGACGCCTCTCGGGGAGGCGCCGCCGCCAGAAGGCATCCCGAGGCTGCAAAGCCACCGAGAACGAACGAGAGCGGCCGAGAACCTCGAACTTCCAACCTCGAACCCCTGAGCCGGTGCCCCCCCCCAGATCCCTCGGAGGTTGATACGTAGACCTCGTACGCTGACACGTCGATTAAGAAATTGCCGTTTTCGGTCGCGAGAGTCAGAGGGCGTCGCGGCCGTCATTTCTGCGGATCCAGGTCCGTCGGTTTCGGTCTTAGGCTAAGGGGAGGTTGATTAAAGGGAGGTGTTTGTCCACCGCCGAATCCCTCGAACGTTGCTTCTCGACCCTCACCGGATTCGCTGAGAAGGGAACATGTCGTCAGCAGGTCTATCCAGAGTTCCCTGCGGCAGAACGTTGACTGCAAAGCCGCGCGCGCAAGTTGCCCGAGGTTCGTCGATCCTCGAGCGCAAGGACGAGTCCGACATCCTGTCCGCCTCCATCGCCGAGGACACGGCGAGCAAGGCCGCCTTGAGCCGCCAGGAAGAGCCACATCTCGAGAGGAAGAGTATCCGTCCGTAGTTAGAAGTGGATAGTGTTGGACTGCTGGAGTTCCAGATTCCAGTCTGCTTAGGCGCCTTCCTACTTCGACCATCGAGTGAATTTTTGAAATCAGGACCGCTCTGGACTCGGGAGGGAAGAATAGTTTCGGGCCGTTCCCTAGACCCAGGTCGTAGAACCCGTCCGAAGCAGACGCTCGCCGTGGGCGTAAAGAGAACCCTTCGGTTCTCATGCACCTTTCCTTGTGGTAGCACGATGGTTGTATCCATCGGTCGTCGAATGTCGGTATTTTGGGATTTCCAGGTTTGAATCTCATTAGGCGCATTCCTACTTCAATCATCGAGTGGTGTTCCCTTTGCCTTCCTCTTTAGGAGGCGAAAGCAAACCAGTTTTTCTTCCCAACGCCTTCTCACTTCATGTGTTTCCACCCACCTGTTCTGACCGATGGGTAGGAGGAAGAGGATCGCACTTCGAGGTTCGAGGGTCGAACTTGGGTGTCAGGGCTTGGGCGGCGTACTTCGTGTCTAGAGCTCCGACCACTTTATTCCGCGTCGCACCCCCCCCCCTCCCCGCGTCCCCAGCCCCAGAGTGGGACCCCCGCGCCGTGGCTCTCTGCCCCGAGCTCCCCCGCCCCAGCGCCCCAGCGGGGAGCCCCGCCCACCGCCCCCTCGTCCACGAACGTATTCCTCGTCGCACCCCCCCCCTCTCCCCGCGTCCCCACCGCCAGAGTGGGACCACCGCGCCGTGGCTCTCTGCCCCGAGCCTCCCCGCGTCCCCAGCGCCCCAGCGGGGGGCCCGCCCACTGCCCCCTCCGCTCCCCCCGCGTCCCCAGCGCCAGAGTGGGACCCCCGCGCCGTGGTTCTCTGCCCCGATCCTCCCCGCGTCCCCCGCGCCCCAGCGGGGGCCCCGCCCATTGCCCCCTCCGCCATGAACGCTTATTTCCGCGTCGCACCCTCTCCCTCCCCCCGCCGCGTCCGCAGCGCCAGAGTGGGACCCCCGCGCCGTGGCTTTCTGCCCCGAGCCTCTCTGCGTCCCCAGCGCCCAGGCGGGAGCCCCGCCCACTGCCCCCTCCGCCACGAACGCTTTATTCCGCGTCGCACGCCCCCCCTCCCCCCGCGTCCCCAGCGCCCCAGACCGCGCCGTGGCTCTCTGCCCCGAGCATGGCTGCCCCAGCGCCCCAGCTGCCCCCTGCCCCCTCCGCCACGAACGCTTATTCCGCGTCGCACCCCCCCCCCCGCGTCCCCAGCGCCAGAGTGGGACCCCCGCGCCGTGGCTCTCTGCCCCGAGCCCCCCGCGTCCCCAGCGCCCCAGCGGGAGCCCCGCCCACTGCCCCCTCCGCCACGAACGCTTTATTCCGCGTCGCGACGCACACCACCTCCCCCACCTCCCTCCCCGCGTCCCCAGCGCCCCAGTGGGAGCTCCGCCCCGTGCCCCCTCCGCCCCGACAATTTTATTCCGCGTCGCGACGCACACCACCTCCCCCCCCGTCCCCAGCGCCCCAGTTGGACCCCCGCCCCGTGGCCCTCTGCCCCAAGCCCCGCCCAATGCCCCCTCCGCCCCGACCATTTTATTCCGCGTCGCGACGCACACCACCTCCCCCCCCTCCTCTCCGCGCCCCCAGCGCCCCAGTGGGACCTCCGCCCCGTGCCCCCTCCGCTCCGAGCACTTTATTCCGCGTCGCGACGCACGCCACCTCCCCCCCCCCCCCTCTCCCTGCCTGGGGTTTGGGCCCCGTTGCTGGGCCCCGAGGGGCGATGTCTTGCCCCCTTTTCCCCCTTCCTCTTCCTCCACCTCCTCCTCCCCCCCCTTCCTTTTCGTGCAAGAGCCATGGCACACGTGCCACTTGTTTCTGTAGCCTGGGGCTCTCTCGTCGCCACGGCTGGCCAAAGCGCACAGCCTTCACGGTTTTGAGGTCAAGTTGGGGCAAGGAGGAGGAGGAGGAAGAGGAGGCGGAGAAGAAGTTGGGGGAGCAAGAGGAGAAGGAAAAGCAGGAGGATGAGGAGGAGACGAAGGAGGAGGAGGAGGAGGAGAAGTTCGGGGGGGAGGAGGAGGAGGAGGAGGAGGAGGAGGAGGAGGAGGAGAAAGAGGAGGAGGAGGAGGAGGAGGAGGAGGAGGAGGAGGAGGAGGAGTCTCGAAAACCATTAAATATGCGTTCGTGACGGGAGAATTGGCAGAACCGCACACATCAGCGCTGATTGTCGTGGAGATGTTGGAACATGTGGCAATGAGGCGAAGAGCAGATTCTAGGAATACGGCAGGTTCATGCTGCGTGGGCGCGCCGGGGATGCTGGCGAAGGCGTTCAGGGTTGAATTCTACGACGCGGAAGCACTAGTGGACACGGTGACGCCCCTAGACCCGACGGAATTCATCCTTGAACGATCGGGGCCGCGATCGATTCAAGGAGGAACGATCGAAGCGGTATCAAAAGCCTTCTGCGCGCGCCGACGCCGCCCGAACTTCCCGTATATGGAAACACCTTGGGAATCCTGAAATTTGTGGTGGTTTGTTTTTGCCCCCACTGCATGCGGGCTAATTCGCGATGCCGTGTCCGAGTCTTGCCCCGACGCGCGTGCGGATCGCCTCTGCCGTTCTGCAACGTAAAAGTTGTGTCCCCAGTCAGGTGCAACGATAGGGGGGAATAGGCATATGGGGGGGATGCATCGACCATCACCCGCCCATTGATCGCCGATAGGGACCCGATATCCCCAGCTTGCCCAGGAAGGTGCGGATTAACTATAGGGGGCCTACCGCCGATCTATCGGCGATGTATCGCCGATTCCAGATCGATGCATCCACCCTTATGCCAGTCCCCCCCACATCGTTGCCACTCACCCATGAGCCCCTGGAGCAGTGACAGCCCGCACAAGTTGACCCCGAGGGCCCGAAGCTCTCACAGAGGGCGGCCAGTCGCCGGACTGCGCTGGGACTCTTTGGGAGGGTCGCGGCGCCCGAGACGTCTTTGGATCGGAAATAGCGAGGAAGCACGCAATAGTTGTGACTTTGCATCCAATTAGCTTGAATAGCGTTATGAGGACGAGTAGGCGCTCATACCCCGATTTGCGACCATGTGCGAACGTTGCAGCCAAAGTGCTGCTCGGCGGCGCGCCCAGGGGGAAAGGCAGCGGGGGGGCGGGCCTTCTCAGAAGGCTCGGAAGGCCATCGGCCTTATCTTAAGCTTCCTTTGCCTTCTCCGAAGCCCCGCCGCTTTCTGAGAAGACTTGCCCCAGCTCACTGCTCCCCTCGGCGCGCCGCCGAGCTGAACTGAGGACCACGCTCAGGGGAAAGCAATGACATAAACACAACAACTCGGAGGTCCACGCGGATTCCTCGGATCGGCGCTGTGGCCCCCTGGCATCCCCTGTGGCGCCGACTCTGGCGCGCTTTCCGCGCCAGGGAGTGGGGTCCAGCGCCAATCCCAGGAATCCGCCCGGATCTCCGAGTTTTGATGTTTCGTTGTTGCCTCTCCGATTTCTGGGCTCAGGACTGGCTTTGCCTTTTCAGGGCCGCTCCTCCGGTCTAGGTCGGGGAGCCTAGTCATGGCCGAGGCGCGCCGTGGCCAGACAAGCCCCTTTTGTTTTTCTTATTCAGCGTTGACTGTACCTTTGCGGGCTCAGTCGGCGTCAGGGTAACGTACACCCACGTTGGGGTTCACTGGGCTGCAGACATCCTTCAAATCAGGAGCCCCCGCCGGTGTCTCAAACACCTAATTTTCAGGGATGGTATTCGTATGGTCGCCTAGCCGGACCACCTCCGACTCATGGCACGGTGTTGTCATTAGGGGCGGGCTTGCGCCGCGCTTTGTTCACGGCGTTGACACCAGCTCGGGCGCTCAAGGTTGAAGGCCACCTGTGGCTTGAACCAGACCTATCTTGAACGATCTCCGTTATCGGTCGTTCCATTTTGAACGATCTACGCGGTAATAGATACCAGTGCCCACGTCGATACAACATTCGGTTGACCTGTTACAGATCTTGTATCCAGTGCCCCAGAGGTACAAAAATGCACAGATGCCGACGGAGCGTCCGAGAGCATCTTGTTCAATGCAGACAGACGTCTCGCGTAAGCGACATACGAATTTGTTCTACATATGTTCGAGACTTTCAGGGCGATGTGTCGTAGAGTTTGTCCGGTATGTGCTCACGCGCGCTGATGACGGCAATTCCGAGCGAGTTTCCTTTTCGCTCGGGTGGGGAAGGACATGGTGGCGATCTGGCCCCCCCTTTCCCCCTCCTGTTCTTCTCATCCCTTGTCTGTCTCGTGCAACTATATTGCTGCACACTGCGTTGTATTTATATTGGGCGAAAGGGGGAGCCTTACGACTGTGTTGTACACGGGGGATCGGGAGGAGGACATTTTCCTCCGCGGGTGTGTCCGTACGGGAATTGTGGATCCATTTTGGGCTCCAGGAGGGAGGAGGAGAAGGGACGAAAGACGACGGTCGATGGACAACGGCCGACGGCCGACGGCCACGGCCATGGCCACGGCTTCGACGATGACGACGACGACGACGACGACGACGGACGGCGACGACGACAGACGATTACGACGACGACGACGACGTGCGACGACGACGTGCAGGAGAAGCGGTCAGGTGGAGGAGCCGGGGAGGAGCGAGGAAGGGGAGGGGGGCGGGGGGGAGGGGAGGGCGAAGGAGCAGGGCACGGTCCCCCGACATCTGCTGGTGTGTTGTCTTCATAGCACGGTCCCAGAGGTCCCGACCCCCGGCTCTCTCCTCCTCCTCCTCCTCACCCTCCTCTGTATCCTCCCACATCTCTCCTCACCCCCCTTCTCCTCCTCCATCCCGCCTCCTCCCCCTTCTTCTCCTCCCTCCTTCTCCCCACCCCCCTTCTCCTCCATCCTGCCTCCTCCCTCCTCCGTCCATCCCCCTCCTCCTCCCTCCCCCCCGCCTTCCTCCCCGTCCACCCCCTTCTTAAGGGGCCAGTGTCCCGCGCGGATTCATTCTTAATCGTACGGAGGCCCAAGAAAGGGCCCCGCAGCCCCAAAACGAGGAAACAGCGATGTTTGGAAAAGAGACAAGAAGAAGCGTCGGAGACCTGGGGAGGAGGCGGGAGGGGGGGGCAAGCTAATGGTGCTCGCGCCATATCTGACATCCTAATTCAAAAGCCTTCACAACACTAAATTTGTGTTGTGTTGCGGGGACCCAAGACAACCTGCAACCGCATATCATGTGGTTGCAGGCTTGGCGAAACATCGTTTTCGTTTCTCTCTCTCCTTCTCTAGCTTTCTCCATATCTCTTTCTCTCTCTCTCTCTCTTTCTCTCTGTCTGTATCTTTTTATAGCTCTCTCTCTCTCTCTGTCCCTCTCGCTTTCTCCATCTCCCCTCCTCTCGCCCCTTCGCTCTCTCACTCTGTCTCGTCTCTCTTGGGCCTTCGGGAGGGCCCGCTCGCCGCCGCGGCTCGACTCTGTCGGAAAAGCTGGGTCGGCGTCTTTGGCGCCCAGGGAACTCAAACTGTTTCTGTTGTGTTGCCTGCCTCGTGCGTCCAGCGAGAGCTCCTGGCAGCACGCTTCGTGGACATACCTTGGGTCGCGGTCGGGGGTACCACTCCGGGACGCCCTGCTTGCAGGGACCTGGAGGCACGCGTGCCAGGACCTCCTGCGCCCAGGCCTTACTCCCCCACGGGCGCGGGCAGGGGCGCTTGCAGCCCGCCCGCGGACCAGAGTTGGTCCGCACTGGTCTCTCTCTCGCTCTGTCTCTCTTTCTTGTTTTCTTTCTCTCCCTTTCCCTCTCGCTCTTTCTCTCTCTCTCTCTTTCTCTCTCTCTCTCTCTCTCTCCCCCTCTTTTTTCCCCTCTCTCTCTTTTGCTCTTTCTCTCTCCCTCTCTCTCTTTCCCTCCCTCTTCATCCCATCCTCCTGCTCGCAGCAGCCACGTTGGCTCAAGGGCAGGCTGCCGCGGGGGCCGCCGCGCCCGGTGCGGCGATCGCCCAAGCCCGCGCCAGGCTGCCACCGCCCCCGCCTCGGGAACGTTCCCTCCGCAATGGAGGGCCCGGAGCCGCCGCCGAGCGACGGCTAGACTTCAAACGCGCCTTCCGCAGGCTCCGCACGGGCTGGCGGTCTGGGCGCCGAACCCAGACGACGAGCTGGCGGCCCCCCGCAGGTGCAGATGGACAGCGAGCACCCCACACGAGGCCTCAGCGGCGGCGAGGAAGAGCGGCTCGCGGCGAGGGGTGGTGGCATCGCGGTGAGCGGTGGACAGACGGGGGAAAAGGTGGGGGAAGGGGGTCAAGACGGCGCCTCGTGGGCCGAGTTCTCCGACGAATCGGAGCCCCCTGGAGTCTCGGGAACATCTGACCCGGAGGGCGCAGCAGGGGGCCGAGCGCGAGGGCGAGTTTGCTCGTGGGGGCCGCGCAGCAGGAGCGCCGCCCCACCGGGGCAGCGGCCGCGGCCGAGGCCGCAGGCGCGAATCCGGGGCTTGCTGAACTCGCTGGGAGTGCAGTGGATCAGCGACCTGCTGGATTCGCTGGGAGTGCAGTGGATCGGCGACCTTGCGAACTCGCTGGGGGTGCTGTGGACCAGCGACGCTCTGGACTCGTTGGGAGTGCTGTGGATCGTCGACCACTTGGACTCGCTGGGAGTGCTGTGGATCGTGGTTTGCGAGGCGCGCGAGGGGGGCCCGTGATCCCCGCGCCGCTCGTGGAGGCAGGCCCTGCTGCCGCCGCTGCTGTCCCTCCTCCCCCTCCTCGCCCTCTTCCTTCTTCCGCTCCTCCTCAAGCGCCGAGATCTCTAGGCTTCAAAGAACTCGTGGCCTATGCGACAAGGTTTTGATGGTCGCTCGTGTCGGCGTCGCTTCGCCGCCTCGGGCTTTCCGTTCCTGGATTTGGTCTCGTAGGGGCCGATCCTTGCGTTGGCTGTGTACTCGTCTCGTTGTGCCTCCTGGTTGAGCGAGGACAACTCGGGGCTCCCATGTGAGGTGGGCCTTTCCATGATTCGCTTGCTAAGCGCACGATAGATCGTATATAATATAGCTGAATGTTGCCCCGCGTATTCGCTATGTAGTCTCTCAGGCTGGAGATGTTCGGTCCGATATCGCTTCGCCGCCGCCGCCGCCTCCTCCTCCTCCTCCTCCTCCGCCTGGGGGCAGCAGCACGCCCCACCCCTTCTCCCCGCAGGTGCGCGTCGAGGCATCAGAGGCGGCCGCGGGCGCGCAACTGGGCCAGGGCCTTCTGGCGCCGCCGCTAAAGGCAGCGCCGCCGCCAAGATCAGCGCAACTGTGACTCTGCGATGCCCCCGTGCCCCCAGCGATGCGCCAGCGCTCCAAGGACAGTTCCCCTGCCGCAATTCAGGCACTGTGGAGGGACTTGCGGGTACGGCCGTAGTTCGGGTCCAGGAGGGTTACGCAGCAGCCGCGCCCGAGGGCGGAGCGAGGAGGGTATGCGACCTGCGATTCTTCGAAACCTTCGATCCGCTCACCGCTTACGCGCCCCCAAATCCAGGACAACGCTGCCCTCAAGTGGTAGTGCGGCCAAGCCGATGGCCCGACGGACCCCTTCGGGAAGGAAGAATTCTGATGTGGCCCCATGAACAGCGGTGTTATCTTGAAGCCAGCAAAGCAAAGAGGGCACCACAACATGGGCCACTTCGACCCCGACATGTGCGTCCATTGTAATTGGCCGGCGATGATCGCTCACATGGACAGCGGGCGCGGCCGCGGGGTGAGTGGTCAACGGGCCTGATGGCCATAGTGGCGGCGTCAATGTGTGCTCGTTGCAGGCCCGCGACAATTGCCGCGACCGACCGCGCGCCTTCGCCGCCGGGCACCGCGGCGATCCAGTGGAGCAGTAACTGGCGAACTTCGATTTCGTGGTCCACCGCGAGGACAAGACGGCCGTCCGCTTGCACTCCGCATGGGGCCTACCAAGTGTCAGCGGACACGACGAAGGACCGCATGTCCGCCCTGCGCGCGAACCCAACGCGGGGCGTTCGGGGGGGGGGCAGGCGCGCATAAGCACAACAAGGACAATCACCTCAGCAGAAGAGGCAAGTTCGACATGCAAAATGGGGCAATGGTTGGGCCCAGAGACCGCTGTGGCGGCCAACGGACTCGAAGTAGAGCACAATAGACTTGAAGGTGGTAAGAGCACGCAGACAGCGGGCTGCAACAACCAGGCTGCCAGGCCGACCAAGAGCAAGACAACCGCGAAGTCGGAGAGCTGAACATTGGTCAGGCGGATGCCACTTTGCCCCATGCGGTTAGCCCAGGCCCAGGAAGCACCGAGCCAGCCCACGGGGGGGCCGAGTGCAGCCCCTGCAGCTGCTCCAGACTGGAGCTCCAGGCCGCAGGACGCCCAGCCTCCCGCGGCCCCGCCTCCCTACCCGCTGGCTGCTCCGCAGATAACTCGCCCAGCCCCGCCTCCTTCGCAGCCTGGTAGCCTCCGAGGTGTGGAACCCTCGCGTCTCCGCGCGGGCCGCCGCCCTCTGCGCGCCAGACGCCCCCCCGCAGCCGCCCCAGCTGCCGCCTGCGCAGTCTAAGCCCGACGTTGGAATGGCCGCGGGGACGGCGCCCTCCAGCGGCGATGCAGCGGCCGCAGTGCCGCCCTGTTCGATCGACATCGCCGCCCTCTTACGCTTCGCCAGCGCCGCCGCCGCGACGTTGCCTGCTGACCCAACGCTGCCGCCGCAGCACCGCGTGGGTTGGTGGCGACAGCAGCGGATGGCAGTCTCCGTGGCGGCAAGACGGAAGCGACGGATGGCAGCCTTCCTGGATGGTTTGGGGCGGTGCGCTTCCAGACCCGGGGTTCTACGTGCAGCACAGCGGCGCCGTCGCAAGCGACGGCGCGCAGCACTTGCGGCACAGCGGGCCCAGGCAACCCGCATAGTAAGGATGAGCAACATTCCATGGTTGCCCTACCGCCCTCCCCCTTCGGCCCATCCTTGGCCGCTCTCGCTGGCCGCGCCCCGATGGCAAAGTGCTGGCATGACCTTCCAAGGCTCTTGCGTCCTTATCGCGTGCCCGCCCTTATGATACGGGTTGATTGCGCGCTGTGGCCCCGGTGGCAGCATAACCGCAACCGCCAACACCACAGCCGCAGCCACAGCCACTGCACCCTGCAACACCAGAGCCAGCAGCAAGTAGAGCTACAGAAGCACCAAACATAGTAGCAGGTTGATCTCCTCATGCATGCGATGAGCACTATGGCGACCATGCATAAAACATGCACGACCTGCTCAGGAAGCAGGCGACCACGATGGAGGAGCACGCGCGAAAAATGGAAACGACCACCCGCAACCCCCAGAAATATAGCGAAGCCTTATAGAAGCAGGCGCACGACCTGCACCATGTTGTATGGCCAGAACTTCCGGAGGGGTTGTCCCGGGGGCGTTGTCCGGGGGGGGGGGGTCCGGCTCCTCGAGGGGTTGTCCGAGGGGTTGTCCGAGGGGTTGTCCGGGCCGTGCCGGTTTTTGCCAGCGCACGCACGTGCCCGAATCATCCATTTCATCAGAAGCATGGCGCAGCCAGTCAAAACCCATTCGGAATGGGCGCCTCTCTTTCCTCCTTCCCTTCTTGTTCGTTATGCCTCTCTCGCGTCTTCCCGTTCCCGCTCGCGCATCCTCATTGATCGTTGTTCCCCACGGAGCGTGGCTGGCTGGAGTCTTGTAGTTGTAGGGGCTAGTTCCAGCCGCGGGACCAGCGCACAAACAAATATTCAAAGCGCCGGGCTCACGCATGCCCAGTCTGGGCTCGGAGACGCCGCCCACGAGGTAGACCGTCTTCGCAATTTCGGTCTCAGAGATGCCCTGACTTCAGGTGGTCCGAGAGAGAAGAGCCACTGGCGACCCCCAATACGAGGACAGGGCGTTTCCCCCGCACGTCGGATTCTCGAGGGGATTGTCTGGGGGGTTGTCAACGGGGTTGTCCAGGGGGTTGTCTGGGGTTTGTCCAGGCGCAATCTTACCCAAACCTCCTTTGGGCCTCCTCATGCTTCAGCCTTCAGCCGTCTCCTCATTCCTCAGCATTCGGCCGGTTTCGCCTGAGACATCCGCGCAAATCTGGAGTGACTTTAGGTGGTCCAGCCAGTTTCGCCAGAGTCACCCTCGCAACTCTGAGTGGGAGTGGTGCTGTCGCCCGAGCGCTGATTACACTCTCGGTTGGGAAGTGAGATGTCGCCCGAGCACTGGATGTTGCTCTCGCCTGAGCGCAAAACACATCCTTCATTGAAAAAGGTTATCTCTCCAGTGCGCTGGTCACACGGTGCTCTCGCTCAAGCGTTGACCACATGTACATGCTAGGGCATTTGTGGTCTCCATCTCGGAGAGGTTGTCTGGATTGTCAGGAGGGTTGTCTGGTATTTGTTGATTGAGTTTTTTCTATAGAGCCATGCAACATGGTAGAAACATGACGAGTAGACGTGGGAGAAACACTGGTGGTGGGGCTGTTTACTTCGAGAAGGATCGGCCGCAGTGGTGGCCACCCCCATGCAGGCTGCGCGCGAAGAGCCCGCCCGCGATCGCACGGAGGAAAAAACATTATTTTGCGCCCCCATTTTCTCTTGCTATCCGCTTGTTTGTCGGTTGCGTTCTCTCTCTCTCTCTCTCTCTCTATTTATCTTTCTCTCTCTCTCTCTCTATGTATCTCTTTGTGTTCCTTCCTTTCTCGCCCGCTCGATATGTCTCTCCCGTTATCTTTCACTTTCTCTCTCTCTCTATCTGTTTAGTGTGATATATATATTTATCTCCCTCTCTCTCTTTTTCTTTGCCTGTATGGATGTACGCTCCTCTCTCTCTCTCTCTCTCTCTCTCTCTCTTATATATAGATATATGTGTGTACGTGTATTTATATATATATAGATATATGTGTTTATGTATTCCTACGTACTGTTACCTCTCTCGCTCTCTTTCTTAAGCTGTCTGCGTTTGCCTGTCCGTCTGTCTGCCTGCTTGTTGCGCTCTCTCTCTCTCTCTGTCTCTCTCTCTCTCTCTCTCTCCATATAGATCTCCCTCTCGTCTCTGTCATGTAAGACGAAACCTATGGTCGCTAGGTGTTTGGAATGTAGTGCCCTAGTATTGTCGTTCAGGCTTTTGGTGTGCCCCTCCCACCCATCATTTCCCATAGTGTTGTTGGTTTCTCTGTCCACGGACGCGTGTCGCAGCCGATCTGGAGTTCGAAAAACGTGTTTCGGAGAAATAAGGAATTGCGTACAATGGGGGAGAAGGGGTGGAGGAGGTGGCGGATGAGCACGAGGATGAGCAGGAAAAAGAAGAGGAGTACGAGGAAGGAGGAGGACAACGACGAATAACGGCAACGGGAATTGAGGATGAGCAGGAGTGCCGTCACGGCCGCACCTGTCGTGCGAGCCCCTCGACGGCGGGGCCAGGCGACCAAGGCCCAGGAGCTCGCCGAGAGGAAGGCGAAGCACGAGGAGATGGAGGCCGAGCTCGCCTTCACCAAGGATCCTTGGCGGGCTCTTTTGGGGCCTGTGTGGGGCATCTCGGGGCATGCACCCCAGTCATGTTCGCGCCACGAACAAAACAACTTGTTTGCCATACTTGGGCAAACCAGTGTACACATATTTCTTTTAGGCTGACGTATTCCAGCGTTTTCGGCAGCGGGCTGGCGTGCGGAGGCGTCCTTATCGCGACCTGCCATTTCCCTGGCAAAGCCAGAGGTGTTCACCTTGGCCGGCCGACGCTGTCAAGAACGACACCCTTCGAGTTTTGCCATGGCCAACGTTTCATTCTCGTGCTGCCACGCGGGCAAGAGAACGGCAGCAAATCACGACGGACGGTTCTTGGCAGTTTTCGGCCGCTGGGGGCCTTCGCCAGGACTGCGGGACAAGACAGCGGATGTCGAAGGTCCTGGGGTCCTCCCCTGATGTTTCTCTGGGGCGCGTTGGGGCGTGAGGCGGTGGCGCGACCGCACTGCTAGCTGTTGCTTCTGCTCTCTCCTCCGATTCCCTCCCCTTCTGTTTTCTCTGTGCGAGGGAGCGCAGACATGGATCAAGGCGCGTTGATAGGAGATTGGAGAAGGTTCCCGCTTCCGTACAGGATCCGCACGATCCGTCATTGGATGAAGCGGAGGAGATTGTGTTCCCCGATCTTTCGATTTGGCGCCCACGCGCCCGATCAACGGATCCCTAATCCATGTTAGCGTGTGCCAGAGAGAAGGAGGAGGACGACGAGGGGGGATAGGTAGGAGTTGGAGGATAAGATGAAGAGGGAGGGGGGGGGGGGGTCCTGGGGGTGGAGGGATGAGGAGAGGCGGGCGGAAGAGGGGGAAGAGGAGGGGAAGCGGATGCGCAGGGCGAGTGGGATAACGTCGAGGACGCTTGGAGGGGCAGTGGGGAAGAGGGCTGAGCGAAGGAGGAGCAGGGAGAGGATGGGGCTGGCTTCTCGAACGAATTGTGGTTGGTACTTGCGCCTGGCGTGGAGAGCTCAATGTGAAGCAGTCTTGGCGTATTAGGGTGGCAGGGGCCGAAGGACCACGTGCGCGCTGGGTTCAGTATGGTCGGTTGCAGATCCTAGAAGGCTACGTTCAGTCTCGGCGCTGGTAGGTTCGTGGTCGTCAATGTCAAAGTATTGGAAGATTCCTGTTCAGCCCGCTGAATCCAATTTGATCACGTGTGTACACCTGTGTAACCCGGATTCGTTACCCCCCAATCGGGCTTGACAATATCTAACCGTTCCCACGAAGATCTCTCAGGAGTTGTTCCTCAAGGGTGTATTTCCGCCTCCCCACCCCTACCCATTCTCCCTTCCCCTCTCCGTGTCCAGCATATTCATTCTGGACAAGAGTCGGGATTCGCCCGAGACCTACAGGATCAGCTCGCGAAGGACACGGCGCAGTACAATTACAATGCCGCGGACTTGTCGAAGGCCATCTCCAGCCTGTCCAACGCTATGACTGCGCTCCATGACTGCCCGGGCATGCCCCGTGCGTGCCAATCGCGGAACACATCACGGATGAAGAAGAGGGGATTCGAATACAAATTTTGGATGAATGTTTACCCACCGCTCGGGTGGTCGATCTTCCTGGACCCTCGGAGGTGATAGATATGGATCGAATCCGTTTAGCCGTCAGGAATCATATGGATCTAGGCGCGCCCCCTGGGGGCCCAAGGGCGTTCACGTTCACTCCCCCCTGGGTCCTCGGACATCGGCTCCCCATGTACAACTCCGACCTCTCGGCCTTTGGGAAAGAACGAAGAGCAGCGGACGCGAGGAATGGCAATGCGAGAGATGACGACGTGGAGGATCTCATCGACGGCCGAGAGGGCGACGCGCGGAGTGAGAAAGGGCAGCAGCGAAGGGACGCGACGGTCCCCAGTGCAGTTGACTGTTCTGCTAGAAGGGTTGTCATGTAGAGCTCAGAACTCTCAAGTAGTGACCAAGCGCCCCGACCTGTTTGTAGCACCAGCAAGGAGTGTTCGAAGACCCTCTTGTGATTTCCATGGGATGTCCTCAGGAAGGTTCTGGCTGAGACCGCTCTGCTCTCATACATCGCCTTCATGGTCTAAGATCATTGCTTTGGTTCTAGAGCGTTCCGTGGTTTTGTAGGAACTTTTCGTGGTAGTTTGGACAATGGAAATACCGTGACGGTCGGCCCCTGCTCAAGGACTCAGGCTCCCCACAGAACCTGTTGGGTCCCACCAACCAATAGGCAGCGGCACCTAAGAGTACCAATGCAGGGGGAGCCTCACGCGGAGGTCGCCGCGGGTCTTTCGCAGGTCCCCAGATCTCTGCGGAGGCCTTGGAGGCCCAGAACGAGCTCCGAGTTGCGATCCTCGAGCCTGGATCTCACTCCTCCTCCCTCCTCCACCCTCGACCTCCTTCACAGGGGGGCACAGCAATGCCATGCTGGTGTTGTGTCTCCCTTATTGCTCCAGGGGACGCGAAGCAACCCCGAACTCGGCCCGACTGCTCGAGCGATCGAGCCGATCCTCGAACCTCGAGGGTGATGAGGATGCGGATGACGCTTTTGGTGTTGACGGTGACGACGACGATAACGATACTGATATTGACGACAACGACGATGTTGATAAGTATCATGGTCATGACGATGAGGATGCTGATGATGATGCTGATGCTGATGTTGATGTTGATGATGATGATGATGATGATGATGATGATGATGATGATGATGATGATGATAATGGTGATGATGTTGATGACGATGCTGAATCTGATGATGATGGTGTTGATGATGACCATGGCGATGACGATGACGATGATGACGACAACGGTGGCTACGATGCCATGGAACGACGCTGGGGAGAAGTCCGGTCACAATGCAGGTCGAGCCTCCTCGTTGGGACTTGGTGCCCTTGCGCTTCTCCCTCTGCTCCTCCTCTCCAGTCCCCTCTCCCCTTCTCCTCCTCCTCCTCCTCTTCGCCTCCTTCCCCAAGCACTCCTCATCTCATTCTTATCGCCCTCCTCCCCGCCTCCTCTCTGCCATCCTCTTATTTGTTCTCTTCATCGTCCTCCCTCCTTCCCCTCCTTCTCCTCTCTCCTGTTTCTCCTTCTGCAAGGGTCCTCCCCCCCGTCTGGAGAGGAGGGAGGGGGGAGGAGAGGGAAGTGGAGGAGGAGGAGGAGGAGTGGAAAGTGTGAAAAGACGGGGGGGGGAAGAGAGGACAGGAGATAGGAGATAGGGTGGAGACTATCCTCAATCTCATCTCCTGTCTCTTGCTCCAACATTCCCGCCCTGGTGTTTCACAACGTGGCTCCCCAAAGGCCTGGACCTCTTCCCGGGACAGGATCTTCATCCTGAATTGTTTTTCGCAAACAGTTGGGGAGGGTTCCGTATGCCGAATGGTGCCAACAATTTCGCGTCGTCTTTGTTCCACGACGCGAGGATGTCTGGGTCTCCAGACAACCTCCGATATGTGTTTGTTCCATCAGTTGTTCGTCGCGGATTCATGCTGGATTGTCACAGGTCTCGATCACGGGCCCCCGAGGACCGAGATCGAAGAAACACGATTGCATGCAAAACATCATGATGTCGGGTATTTGGGAATGCCTGGGTCGTCCTCTCAGTTGATGTTAAAACACGTTGTGTTGTTGTGTACCTCCCCGTATTCAACTTTTCGGATTTCGTCCACCCAGAGCGGAGGAACAACGGCAGCCCAAAGATACGAAAACGGCAGGACAGCACGGAGTTGAACCGACAACGGCGCGAATAAGAATCATAACATGGAATCAACAACGTGATCACATAATGAAAAAACAAACGTCGGTTTCGAACATTGGTAAACAAAAGCAGTTTGCCTTCTTCTGCGCAGATGTGTATGTAATCGAAGGTCGTCCTGTTCTTCCTTGAGGGCCCCCTTGCGCCCCCCGTGTGCGCGCAAGTGCACGCGCGGGAGGACGCCAAGACCCCGCCCGGGGCCGCGGTGCTCTTGGCCTTGCGCAGCTCCGTGGCAAAGGGCTCCCAGCTCGCCCGCGCCCTGGACAGCAGGCTGCCGAAGGCTCAG